CCAGGAATCTAGCTAACCATTGATGATGATGAAATGCATTTGGTCAACAGTGAAAACGAAATCAAACCAATTATATACAGCTGCAGGAGTCTGCGACCAAGCCTAAGACCATACCTTGGTTTTCCCACGCGAAAAATTAGAATCATAAAAGCCATATGTAGAAAGCAGTTTGTCCTGAGCCTTATTTGATCTCTCTATTATTCAGTTTATCAACAAGCTGAGTAGATAGCATGTTTCGACTCCAAGTTAGGAGTTTGGAAAATAAGGCAGGCTGAGGGCGACTTTACGGAAAAGGTTTATTCATTTTGGGTAGTAGGGATACAATGCATCCTCTAAGACAGGCGGCGAGTGCTTCCATTCTTGGTAATCTTACTTTGGCGTATTAATAAAAATGTGTCCCATATTATTTCATAATGGCGAATAAATGATCAAATTGTGGCTGAGTCAACAATGGCACCTAGAATTATATTTAAAAGCTTGGTTAATGTGTGTGAGTAATTTTCGCATTAATTAATGGCGAATACTCACCGACATGAAGTAGCAATGATTGAGGTTAAACGAGCGGTGCTCAAGTAGATACCATGAAAAATGAAGTTGGAAAGAATGCGTAATGCTTAGATAGAATTTGTCGCGATAATAAATCATAAATGAGAAACGATTATTAGAATAAACCAAACATAGAAAAATGTGTAAAGGCCAGCATAAATACTTTCATATGCAGACAGAAAAGCATAAAATCTAGGGCATGTGAGCCTGCCTACTAAGCTTTTGCGCATTCTTTCGGCAGTTTGCTGTGCGGTTCGAAGACGCGATTGAAGCTCAGCAATGGCTGTGCGCTGGCGAGCTACCTCATCTCGACTCTCCCGCACGCCAGAACTGGCTGTCTTCAGCTCATTTAAGCGAAGTTGAAGCAGGTCTCGAAGGCGAATGGCTAGGCTATTGGAGAATTCACGAACGGCCACCTGGAATGTCAAGACGGGAATGGGAGCAGGATATACATGTTCAAAGAAAATGCAATAAATCAAAATACATGTAAGTCTAATAAAGATTGAAAAAGGCTTTCTTAATAATTAAGAACAAAATTACTAATATATATATGACGTATTCATCCAATTTCGTTTAAGGTGAAGGACCGGTAGCAGAATTTCCCCACAATGATACTTGTAGAGCTGACGCTCTCGTTGAAATTCACATAACCTTGCTTTCCCAAAACTTGTTCTGGTAGTTTCGAAACTCTAGTTACATACGAAAGATACTATCATATAGTCAGAAGGTTGATGGGCCCATCCTGACAACGAGGTTATTTCAAATAGATTAGCACTGAGAGTGAAGAAGTCAATCAACTAACCTAGTTAGAAGGGCTCTTGTTCGTCTGAGGAGAATGCAATAAAAAACTAATGGAGATGCTGGCAATTCAAGAGTACCCAGAGATACTGAATCCCTGGGTGTGTTTACAGTAGAAGATGTCATGTAAACACTTATGGCATTATCAAAATGGTTTAACTTGCTTTGATGTTCGTTTGATCTCATTATCAGGCCGGCACAAAAATCTGTTCATTACTACCACATTCAGAAATTGGGCAAAGTTAAGGAGAAGCTGCAGAGTTCAAGTTCATCAGCGTGCTGTGTCCACAACTTTCCATATCGGTTTGGTATCGTATCAAAAGTTGCATTCAAAAGGCAGTCAGAGTCATCGATAGAACACATGCTCCAGTAGATTAAAAGTTTCTTTTTAAAATTCTGCTGTGACTAAAACAAACTCTAGGACTTACAAGCGGATCTTGCGCTAGGATGAAATAGGAAATCTTTTTTGGATAACTTTTCTTCGCCCTATTAATTTGTGCAAAATGGATGAGACTAAAATATAATCTAGCAATATTTAACGCATTCGAACCATGCTGTTTTAAGAATAACAAGGGGGTAAATCAGAGCAATTTGATAACTCGACTCATCTTATCTAATGCCTGGAGGCCAGGTAAATCGGCAAACTTTTCGGCAAAAGCCAAAAATAAAAAAATGTATCTTTTTCATAAAAATATCAATCTTACTTTTACCACTTTATATGCTCATAAACCTTACTGTATTCCATTTTAATGACTATGAACTAGACCTACTCATATCAGTTCGCTTCAACTCACCTCATTTCTAAGCACTCAACCGGCTTGCCGCTACTATGTGATCCAACCGAGAAATTCGCGCAAATGAAAACTTGCTTGAGCTACCTATAAAATAAGCACATTAAAATGATGATGGCTTGAATTATTGAAGCGCTTCTTATGCCGATTTTAGTGACTCTTTTGAGGCTATTCTGACAGCAATATTCACGCAGTTCATCAGGTCTTTGTCATAAGGTTACGAGTGGGTGGACGAAAAAAGCAGATTTAAATGTAGGGTTAGATACCTTTTATGGATTCGTTCTCTCAGGTACATGGACGAATGTGCTTACATGATAGTGATTTCAGATAAAGGCAATTCTTATGAAGTGATGAATTGAAATGCATCGCGGAAGATGAAAAAAATTTTCAGACAATTCTTTTTTAACGCAAATATTAAGACCAAGATGGTTTGACCTCTATTTTGGTCAGTCACAATTCGTTATCTACAACTTAATCATGTTGTCAGGGTGATCTAGATAAATAAATCTTGGCATTTTCTCAAACGTTCTCCAACCATCGTCAATAAGTCTTGTCATT